CATTTTGGCAAGACTTTTATAAAGTACATTTGTTTGGGTTTAGCGGTTTAGTTCGAAAGTTGGAAGTTCACATGGATGTAGCCAGATACAACAGCTCCATGTCTGTGCACTTCTAGTTTCACGGCTCTGAAATCAACAAAATGAGTAAACTTAAAAGACTGTTGCACCAAGTTGACCAAGCTCCATGTAAGCCGTGTAACTGGGCTAATATTGGAGTCCGGAAGCTGGAAGTTCACAGGCATGCAGCCAGATAGAACAGCTCCATGTCTGTGCACTTCTAGTTTTACGGCTCTGAAATCAACAAAATGAGTAAACTTAAAAGACTGTTGTACCAAGTTGACCAAGCTCCATGTAAGCCCTGTAATTGGGCTACTATTGGAGTCCGGAAGTTGGAAGTTCTCGGGTATGTAGACAGATAGAACAGCTACTTGCCTGTGAACTCCAACTTTTTTACTCTAAAATCAACAAAGTGAGGAAACTTAAAAGACTGTTGTACCAAGTTGACCAAGTTCCATGTAAGCCCTGTAATTTGGGCTAATATTGGAGTCCGGAAGTTGGAAGTTCACAGGTATGTAGCCAGATAAAACAGCTTCATTCCTGTGAACATCCAACTTTTTGGCTGTAGAATCAACAAAGTGAGTAAACGTTTCGAAATAAATGGTAAGAAGGTAGGTAGGTAGAACAAAACTTGACTTATTTCAGCTACATCAACAATACCACTGACAGACAGAAGAAGATTTGGAAGGATTTTGGAAGGTTGGGACCAGAGGGTTCAGTAGCGAGATACAACTGCTTCTGAACTCTCTTGTACCTGGTCTTCAGAATCCAAAAACAACAAACAAAGTGTTTCCATGAGAAGAAGACTTTTCGAAATAAATGGTAAGAAGGTAGGTAGATAGAACAACACTTGACTTTTTCAGCTGCAGCAACAATACCACTTTGACAGAAGAAGATTTAGAAGGATTTTGTAAGATTGGGTCCAGAGGATTCAATAGCGAGATACAACTGCTACTGAGTTCTCTGGTACCTAGTCTTCAGAATCCAAAAACAACAAACAAAGTGTTACCATGAGAAGAAGACTTTTCGAAATAAATGGTAAGAAGGTAGGTAGGTAGGTAGGTAGGTAGGTAGGTAGGTAGGTAGGTAGGTAGGAAGGAAGGTAGGTAGGTAGAACAAAACTTGAATTTTTCAGGTACAGCAACAATACCACTTTGACAGAAGAAGATTTTGAAGGATTTTGGAAGATTGGGACCAGAGGGTTCAATAGCGATATAGAACTGCAATTGAACTCGCTGGTACCTAGTCTTCAGAATCCAAAA